CCAAATAAAATTTCAGAACCAATGTTATAGCTTTTTTATAAATTTGTCTATCTGGTTTTCACCGGAAGACCCACCAAAAATAAAAAATTAAAAAAAAATTTCAGAACCATCTGAAAGAGAAATTAATTCTAGAAATAAGTATCTGACCTATGAGATTTGAAAGAGAAACTTTCCCCTTCAGCAGACCCTCAATGATAGTTAACATCCATGAAAGCAAAAATAAAAAGGAAATAGAAAAGTATTACATCCAAGGTATTATTAGAATCTGCAGAGTAACTTCCTTTGCACCCTGTCCTGGACAAGGTACTGAGAGTCACAAGCGCATGTGCAGACTTGCAAACACACCTGCGGCAATGGAAGGACAGAAAAGACGGGAAAGGAAGAAGACACCTGGTAGAGAGGCTGCGTGAGACGAAGGGACTTCCCAGATGCCCCTCTGCAACAATTCTTTCTGTAATTTCGGCTGCATTGTAACTTTTTAAGCACTTATTTTCACGGACTTCTTATACTACAGCCTGTCCCAAAAGTCAATTTTACAAAATTTTTCATTTCTAGTCATACAATATTTGTAAAATTTTGTAACGAATATTTTGTAAATAAAGGTACATTTAGCTACAATTTCCCATTTTTCCTATGTATGGCGACTTTGGGGACACCCTGTACAATTCTGAGTATGGAATAAAAGTGGTTTTAAAATTTTCCTTTCTGCATAACCCCCCACAATCCAACAGCAGTGTAACTTTTGGAGGCAGGAGAATGGCCACATCAGCGAGACACTTATGGCAATGGGTGAAATGGGTCTCCTCACAGGTGAAGTGGCTGTCATCTACCCTGGCTACGTGTCAGAATCACCAGATGCTCAGGCCCCACTGCAAATATTAAAATTCAGAAGATCCGAATGGGGTCCAGGCATTTTTTTGACAGTGGAAGGAGAAAAAAAAATTTTTTATAGGGACATTCAAATTGGATGGTACGAATTTTCTTTAGCCTTCTTTCCCCTGGGCACTCTTGCCCACATCTAAATTCATGGTAACTATGTTCCAAGTGTTGCTTTGAGGCCACAAAGAGACAAGAGGACAGGTAAGGTTTTCATTTGTGGTCTTACTCCTTCTGTGGGAAGGCTGATTTCTCCCTATTCTAGGAATAAGAATAAATCAAAAATATCTTACAAAAGTCCACGTGGGTTTACCATGAGGCCAAACGCCCACGTGCATTATCCTTCAAATTTCTGAGTATTTACTCTAGTATAATACCATCATTTAAATGGCTATCAAGGCCCTATAAACTCCCATTAGGCAGGAGTGACTTTGAACAGCAAATATACATGCTGTGAGTCTCCCTTCTGCTCCTAGCCCTTACAAGAAACCAGAATATATAACTACCTCACTTTTCTTTTAGTAAATATCATAGAAACCTCTTTGGTTATTGTATTTACCCCCTGTCCACTCTGTAAGTATTACAACTGCATGGATACACTTCCATCACAATGTCAGTCTCAAGTTTATTCTCAGGGAACTTTCACAGATATGTTAATTTCTTCCTTATAACCTGCTTTTGTTGGGTGAACGTTCTTGCTCAGGGGGTCTCTTGAATTGCGTTAGGCCCAAGCTCAAAGATCTTAACACTCTTCTGGAGTCCTCTTCAGAGCCTCTCAAACTCCTCAGGAATAAGTACCTTTAGAAAGGAGGGTGGAGCTCACAAAATACTCCCCAGACTTTACAAAAGAGTCACCTGGGGCACTGTTCCGATACACAATTTACCAGGCTTCTCCTCAGGAAATGGATTCAAACAGATGGATGAAAGACCAAAAATCTGCATTTAACAAGTGTCCCAGATGATTCTCGATGTACCTCTTTTCCAAAGATGTTCACCACTGCTCCCTGTCACATTTGCTACCTTCTTCCAGGAATGTGTGGCCACCTCTTCCCACCCCTCCAACCCACCTTCCCCCTTCCCAAATACCTTCCTTTCACCTATTCGAAGTAAAGGGTGTTGTGAAAAATTCAGCCACCCTGATTTATCTTTCTTTTTAATTCTTACTGCAATTAGTCATGTGGCACAATGTAATATTTGCCCTTTTAAGTGTATTGTTCAATAAGGTTTATGGATAAATTGCTATCAATTTATCTTATTTATTTTTTTCTAGGTATAGTGTAAAGAGACAGCAAGCAAGGTTAAAAGACTTGCAAATGTTTATATATAAGCGTGTTGAATGTGATTCTGGAGCCATGGTTATTAACCCAAAAGCCCCCAAGAGCTCACTGTATTTAAACTACTACCATTGAATGCTACAGAAAAATGATGCCTTAGTTCTCCCACAAGGAAACCAATTTATTCTGCAGAAGCTTGATAATTACAAGTTTTCCCATTTTTTTCTCTCTCATAAGCAGCTTACTCACATAGTTAAAGGACATACTAAATAAAGCCTCCTCCTCAAATGAGCTGGTATTTGCTGTTAAAATTGTACCAAGAAAAAAGCAACATGTTACAGTGGTGGAGAACAGTAACTCAGCCAACTCTTCATTATCTGAGGAGGAGGAATCGGGAGGATAGCATTTATAAACCCACAGATGACTCCTGCCTGCACTTCACCCAGTACAGTAACTGTGGCAACTGCCACCTCTTTATGGGGACTGCTATCCTTGCTTGAGAAAAGGAAGAAAAACACTAAGATCTCCAAGGTCCCGTTTCAATTTTAACAACCTAGAATTTGATAACTGCAAAGGGACCGTACTGTCTTCTTCCCTATAAAACCTTCAATTGCCAAGGGGCCTAAGTCAGGAAACCTGATATCAAATGAGGCCAAGCACTGGGACTTACCATTCCCCCTCACAAGACTCTGGAGAGAAGAATGGCTTTCAGATCCATCAAGGCCTCTCGCACTCGTGGCTGCCAGTTGTCCAAACTTTGGGACATGTAAGAATAATCTGCAGTTTTATTGTTACTTTGTTCAGAAATGTGGAATCCAGGGCCTATCATGAATGATTCTGATTTAATAGGTCTACAACAGGATCCAAGAATCTGAATTTTTAAAAAGAACCTAATGCTGGTTCTGAAGCTCCGTGGGAAACAATGCCCATTTTGTAAAGTGCTTCTTCTCTCACCTTTCCTCATCCATGCCTAATGCCTTTCCCCAGTTGGTCCGACTTTTCCCAAACAAAATGTTTGGATAGTAATCTCTTCCAATCCTAGCCATGCTTCAAGGTCTAGCTCAAATGCCAGTCACTTCTAGAAGCCTAAAAGCATCATCATTGCTGAAAAGGACTTCCCACTCTCTTGTGCCCTTGTGCCATTTGCAAGTCAAGAGAATAGAAGGTGTCCCCTGTCACTAAACAGCCATTTATTTCTTTGTGCAAATCTCATCTCTTACTGGGCAGTAAACCCCTTAGGGACTGACTAAAGCTCACATTTTTTATCTCCTATAATAAAACACCTACATTGCATGAGACATTCTGTAAAGACCTTCCTGAATGAGATCAAGCAATTAATGAATGAATGTAGGCACACATTTCTTCTAATAAGTAACCAAAGCTAAAACTGCACAAAACAGGACAATTCCCTAGATTTTGTACTCACTGTCTACAATAGTTTAAGTATCATAACCTCCTTCAATTTCCTTATCTGTCAAACTAAGGGGTTTCAAAGGACTTTTTAAAAGTTCACAAAACACTTTCTTTGTCAAAAGCCTAACATTCCAAATGCTCTATGTGACCTGACCATTTATTCCTCAGTTAACACACAACCATCCGTATCTGTGTTACAAAAGCTTACTGCATTCCCACCATGTACCTACTAACCCTGTCTCTGAGGGACTCTGAGGGAATTTAAGATATCAGCTGGTACAGCAAACACCAGTGGTTTTTACTTTTCCCACCTCAAACCTAACAATGTTCCTCTGGAACATTTTCAGCAAAAAACCAAAAAACAAAAAAATTAGGTAGTACCCATTCTAACAGTTATTTCACAATGTGCCAAATTCCTATAGAATTGGGTAAAAAAAATCTATGACTAAGTTCACTCTTTCTAAAAAACAATATAGTTTTGAGTCTCCAGTAACCAGTTTAACATCCCAATTTTAAAAGTGGATCCCAGCCTAAATAACATGAATAGAGCTTAATCACATTTCAGATGATCATTTTTGTTAAAGAAAACCACATTGAACCTATTCTTTCTACTGCTCAATTTGTCCTTCTTACTCCAAAACTTTCTTAGCAAAATGTAGTTACTTATAATCTAGACTGGTTATACAAATGTGTTAAATAGCAATACTGACCACAACCAAAATACACTCTTAAAAAGTGTTAAGAAGTAATTGCCAGTTTTGAAAGAGAAACTGCATTTTTCAATTTTAAAAGTGTAATTAATTTGTCATTTGTGGCCATAGTAATGTGTCCCTCAACAGAAACTGAGATGCCAAAAAAGCGAAACCCAAAGTAGTATAAGATGATGTATAAAAACTGCTATTGGTGAAAGGAAAGTGTCACTTTTATAAGATCTTAACCCAGGTATACAGGACACAGACTGACCTTAAGTATTAAGAGTGAAAGACTAAAAACAAAAACAAACAAAAAACAAATGCAAACGAGTCATATGTGTTATTAACATGACTTTAAAAAAAATTCAGAACATCTGGGCCATGCACGCCACACGATCAAATAAGTATCACTTTAAATTTTTTCCATAAAAATGTCCATAAGTAGTGCAATAAAAAGTGTAACCAACATAAATAATTTGTGGCCTGGGAAGGGGGAAATTTAACGTAGGGCCAGAGCGAGAAATACTGAAAGCACGGCATCCAAGGAGGGTCAAGCGGGAACCTGGATTCACTCACTGTTCCAGTTCTTACCAGACTTGAAGCGAGCCCCAGGCAAGTTGGGAGAAAAAGGGAACGGAGACGGCAGCTCGGGGAGAGGACACGCTCCCAGGCCGGACCCCACAGGGCTTCCCATTCATTCCGCGCCGTCTCCAGGGTTGGCCGCCCGGAACCGCCGTGCACTCACCTGTTCGCGAACACGACCTCACGGCGCCCGAGGCTGCCGAGGCCGCCGCCAGCAGCAGGGGGGACGCGGGCCGGGGGGCAGCCGCAGGCCGGGGGACAGCCGCCGGCGGGGACGACTGGCGGCGCAGCCCGGGGGTGGGCAGGCGGCGCAGGCCGGGCGCGTCCCTCTGCAGCAGGGCCGAGCAGAGCCGCCGCGGGCTCTGATACATGCCGGGCGCCGCCGCCACAACCGCCGCGGCCCCTCGCGCGCCGAGGAGCGGAGCCCGGCTGGGGCCGAGGCCGGCGAGCCGAGCAGACTGTCGGGGCAGCCCGGACCGATGCTCCGAGGCCCCTTCTCACCCCGCCCAGGTACTAGGGAAAGTCCTGGGCAGCTGAACCTGCCGGGAGGGCGCAGGAGCGCGGCAGCGGCGGTAGCAGCGGCCGTACGGGCGGCAGCCGGCTGACGAGAGCCGGGGTTACCGGCGAGCGCTGCGCGCTGACAAAGCGGTCGCTACCAAGCGCGAGCGGGAGGGGCATCCGCGGGACCGGACCCGAAGCGACCAGGCTAGGCTGCCTAGGCCCGGGGTAATCCTATTTTTAAAGGAAGGAGGATTTACAGTGTTCCATAGCGCGGGGCTGTATGAGGTCTAAAGGAAGAAGTATCCGTTGACACGGTTTTAAAGAAATAAGCGTCCCCTTCCTCTGGCTGGAATGGAAGCACCCATAGGCTGGGAATCCCGAGACAGTTCCAGGGCTGTGGCCCAGGGGACACGTGTGTGTCCGAGGGGAAGACGGCATCCGTGTGTACGTGTGCGTGTGTGTGTGGAGACAGCAAAGAGCCTCTGCCTTGGACGCCTTTGGCGGGGTTTGTTGCGTTAAACGAAATTAAGCACGATAAAGCACCGACTGTGTGCGGGGGCAACGATGATTAAAACAAGGTCCCTTTTCTCAAGGATGTTATACTCAGGCAAAGGGGGCAGAAGGTGGCAAAAGAAATCAGGCCATAAAGTTCTACAAGCTAGATTAAGATCAGTGCCACAAGATGCCACAAGGGTCAGAGGTTACAACAGGCCCAGGGTCTCTACAAGGTTCATTAGAAGAATTGGCATTTGAGTTGGTCCATGACCATGACATGGAGGTCTAGAATTTACACATGTGGAATTCGGGACGGAGTAGTGGTGCTTTATAAATGAAAAAAGCAAATAAGGACAAAAGCCCTGGGTGTATTTGGGGAAACACCTGCTCTTAGTTATGTAAGATGGAGACTAAGAAGACAGATGCTTGGATAGGTTATACTGTGGCAGGCAAAGATTATGCTAGACTCAGTTTGGTAGGTAGTGATGAGCTGTTGATGTTTTGTGAGCTAGGCAAGATGTGATAAGGACTGTGCTTTAATTGCAAGTTATACGTCTCTGGTACATGAAAAGACAAGAAAAAGGACACTAGCTGAGATAGATATTCCAGACCTGCACCAGGTTAATGGTACTGGAAAAGAATGGATGGAAGAGACATCTCAGGTAGATTGGGCCGGAAATGATGACTAACCAGGAATGGAAGTGGGATGAGGCAGGAAACCCCAAGACTAGATTCCTATCTGAATGACTTATGAGTTAGAAATGTTCTGGGCCCCACGTGGTTGCTCACACCTGTAATCCCAGCACTTTGGGAGGCCGAGGCAGGAGGGTTGCTTGAGGCCAGGTGTTTGAGACTAGCCTGGGCAACATAGTGAGACCCTGGCTCTACAAAAATAAAAAAAATTAGCCAGGCAGGTGGTACATGCCTGTAGTCCTACCTATTTTGGAGGCTGAGACGGGAGGATCTCCTGAGCCCAGAAGTTCAGGGCTGTAGTGAGTTATAATCTTGGTGCACCATTACACTCTAGCCTGGGTGACAGTGAGACCCTGTCTCTAAAAAACAAAAAAAAATGTTTTGTTGGTTTCCCCTGATTTTGCTGATTCCTTGTCTTGTGGAATTGGGAGTTTTTCATCACCAAGGATATTAAAAATATTTTTCAAACCTGGGTTATACATCTGACACCCAGAGGGTGTGGATGAATGAGCTGGCACAAGTTGGTCACAACTCCTGGCAGACAAGCTCCTTGGCAAGTCATTAAACCCTCTTAGTCTGAATTTCCTTATCTGTAAAACAGGATCATATATTAGTCATTAGGTGAAATAAAAAGTGATAGTACAATTTACCCATAAAAAGTGTCTTGCAAATACAGCAAAATGTTGATTTAGAATCTTGGTGGAGGGTATATGAGTGTTCACTTACAATCTTCTTTTTTTTCCATATGTTTGGATATATTATAATAAAATGTTGGGAAAAAACTGCTTTGAAAAATGAAAAGTACTGCGCAAATATAAACTGTTTTTTTTTTCATTATTGTTTTGTGTTTTCTGTCACCCAGGCTGGAGTGCAATCACACGATTATAGCTCATTGCAGCTTCAAACTCCTGAGCTCAGACAATCGGCCTGCCTCAGCCTCCTGAGTAGCTGGAACTACAGGCACATGCCACTCTGCCTGGCTAATTTTTTTTATTTCTTGTAGAGACAGGGTCTTACTGTATTGCCCATGTCTCAACCATTCCTCCTACCAGCACCTCCCAAAGTGCTGGAATTACAGGCATGAACCACCAAGCCTGGCTAAAACTATCATTAGTAAAAGGGATTCAAAGAGCATGCTATGCTGAAAGTGAGTCAGTAATGTTATTTTTATACCATATTAAACCGTGTTTACTTTAAGCAATCAGAAATATAGAAATTAAAACTTACTTTAAAATTCATTCAGTAAATATTTGTTGAGTACATATTATGTGCCAGGCTCTATGTTGAGGGCATACAAAAATATATTGAATAAAGTCTGTTCACAGTTTAGTGGGCAAGACATTGTATAAACATAAATACTTTTAATTATCTAATAATAAATACGGAATCACGACATGGACATGGCCAGGGTGTGGTGGGAGCAGAGAAGAGGAAATACCTAATTGCCTAGAGAAGCCAGGAGGGGCTTTGTGAACAAAACGACTTCCAAGTGGAAAGAGACCACGAAGGCTATCCACAGAGAGAGAACAGTAGGGCAAGGAAGGAGGCATGCTCCAGGAATTGCAAGTAGTTAGATAAGGCTCGAGTCCAGGGTGCCTGTAGGGAATGGCAGGAGATGAGGTGGAAGCTGTGGGCAAGAACTGAAGTGTAAAGGACTTCAAGAGGTTTGGACTTGATCCTGAAGGTCGTGAGGACCCACTGAAAGGCTAAACGGGTAGGTTGCACTATCAGGGTCGCATTTTTGAAAGATCATCCTGTTAGCAGTGTGGAAAATGAATTGGAGACTGGGAAAGAATAAGAACAGTGCAGATGAGGAAGAGTATATATAGGTTCAGCATCTCTGGAGAAGGAGCAGGAGAGTATGTATACGTATTTTAAAAGAATACTGCGTGGATCATTCTGGTAACATACTCCTCTTCCCTCAGTGCTACCTCCCAAACAAATAAATGGGGGCAATGATGGTGGAAAGGAGATGGACTGAAGAACTATGAAGGAGACAGAAACCACAGAGTCGAATAACAGATTGAATCTAGGGGCAGAGGGAGGAGAGGATGGAAGCTAGTGATGACGTGGGTGCCTGGTGGATAACGGAACCAAACAGGGAACATAGCAGAGATTTCAGAGGAAGATAGTGAGTTTGTATTTGAACATATAATTGTGATCCGCCCTTGGAACATCCAAGTGAAGTTACTTTGTAAGCACCGGATAGTTTGGCCCCAGGTAACCTCTGATTTCTTTTCTATTACCATAGATTAGATTTATTTTTTTCTAGTTTTATATAAATGGGGTATACAGTATATACTCTTTAACATAATACTTCTGAGATTCATCCATGTTGTTGTGTATCTCATTAGTTCCCTCCACGCTGTGCCTGGGTAGTAGTCCATAAACGACACAATTCGTTTATCCATTCACCTGTTAGTGGACATTTTCCTAAATAGTGCTATGAATGTTCGTGTACTAGTCTTTGGACATATATTTTCATTTCCCTTAGATAAATGTCTAGGAATGGAATTGCTGGATTGTGTGGTAAATCTTTCATAAAAAACTGCCAAACTGTTTTTCAAGCGACTGTCACCCAGGAAGACGCAGAGCCTCATTCCGAGAGGATAAGCTAGAGGTTTGCTTTTTAAGTAAAATTATTTTCTCTTTTTATGATTTTAAAAAAATTGATGTAAGTAATAGATGAATACAGTTTCACTTTAAGACATGTAATCATTCAAACAACAGAGAAGCAGCCTGATTTCTAGCGCTCCCCCTTCCCTGGTAACTTACGGTAACAGCTTCCTTGGAAGGAGCTTGCCCAGAGCACCTGGGGAGAAGCTTGGGCTATGGTGTCTGGGTCAGCAGAACGGTCGGGAGAGCAGGTGCCTGAGAGAGGGCTGCACTGGAGTGAACTGGGCTCTTTCATAATTCCCCTTGGTGTGTTGGCTATGGGGGGATTGCCTTTTAGCCTTTTGGGAATAACTATATTTAAAGAAGGGCTGCTGTTTAAGAACAGATAGTCTTTTCCCTAAAATGTACAGTGTTTGATAGATACAGGCAGATTCCTGCTTCTTGTGCTCATTTTTCTAGACTCCATTCAAACCACAGCCCTTTGGGTACAACTCAGAAGAGTTTATGTTTTACGTCTCTATGTTCCAGTTATATCTTTCTGAGGATACATCCTAGATGGAGGTTCAGCAAACACCTGGTCTTTTCCCACAACAATTGTAAGATGTGGATATCAGCCATTATGTATTCTCCTTTCAAAATGGTAAATTCATCCTGATTTTATCTGTTTTGGGAGTGGGACAGAGACACCTTAACTGAAATTTTAGCACATTGACTATTTGTCTTTTTTTTTAAGAATGAACCCTAGACTATCCATTCTCAGATTGCAGGATACTTGTTTTCCCACAAGAAAGGTGTGCATTGGGGAGCTCAGTTTCATGGCCACTTCCTGTGATTTGGGGTGGAGGGTGTAGGAATCTTTATGCACTCATTTATATGTTCATTCCATAAACACTCATTTTGAGTACCCATCATATTCCAGGCACAGTGCTAGATGCTGGGGGTGTGATACACAAGACAGACAAGGGTGCCTTACAGAGCTTACGTCCTACTTGAGGGAAGAGAGACAGACACTAATCCCGCAAAATAAACAGGGGAAGTATACAGTGTGGTCAATGCTGTGAAGAAAGTAAATAGGACCATGAGCTAGAGAGTTAGTAACATTTCAACTGAAAGTGAAGAATGAGCCCCGCTTTAGGAAAAGCTGGGGCAGGGAACTGCCAGGGTAATGACCTTCCTAGAGGTGGGAAAGCATTTGGTCACTTTGAGGGACAGAAAGGAGCCCACATGGCAGTAGCCTGATCACAGTTGTCATAGAAGGAGTTTGGATT